AAAATAGAATATAATGCATCTATTGTTTTATATAGGCAATTTTCGTTTCCATGTATTTTACCTTTCAAGTCTAAGTAATTCATATTTCACTAGGCCCTTCATTCAAATCCTTGTACTAAAAGGGATTAAGTTAAAAGCTAAAGGCCCTAAAAAAAACTGGTTTTCATTTACAGCCCACTGGTGGGCAACTGAGCTACACTGCAACAGCAGCTTGTGGATGATGTCTGACTGGGATCTTTCAAGCAGTGGCCTGGGGAGATTCTTGGATCAATAATCTACTGGCGAAGAAAGAAGCAACACTGGCCAACCTTAAAAAAATACTACATTCTTTTCAGAATTCAAATGGGGGAAGCATGCACTAAATTAGATGGGGGAAAAAAAATCTATTTGAAACAGCCTTCTTGAAACAATAAAATCTCAAAGTGAACAAGGCTCCATTTTGAAATAAGAATTGTATAAGAATAGTCACAGCCTGTGAGGATAAAAACACTCCACCTGTGCTTCATAGAGCAGATAATAAACGTATTCTTCTTTTAAAGGAAAACCAATAAACACCACAAAAGGGGAAAAAATATAGTTAGGGGGTTTTATTTCTCTGCACTGTCCTGAACAGTGAAGTGCAGAAATAAAGGAATCACAAGTCATGATATAATTTTGCATGTTACTAAGCCCATCCCACACTGAAGTTTACTGCTCTAAATATTTTCTCAGACCCTGTACCTCTGAGATCAAAGGTCCAATAGCCTAGCTAACTGACTAAACTTTATTTACTACTCTCTTTACTGGAAACGTATGTAAACATAATGGCTGATCATAAAGCTCACCAACCGTATTCGGAGTACAAGACCCATATAGTGCCTTTTCAAAGGCGTTACTGAAGTAAGCGCCATTTCCAAAACACATTTCGGCTACAGCATACTGTTACATCTGTTAAGGGCCTGTCTTCCTGCATTACTGAAATGTACAGAAAGAAAATGATGGTGCTTCTGAAATACCTTTAGTTACCAAACAATTGCGGTAAAGAAATATGACAATCGAGTTTTATTATGTCTGTTGCCTGAAGGCACGAGGTTAGGGCTTTGAAACCACACTCATAAGGCACAGTGAACTTATCAAGTAGAGCACGTGATCTACTTTTCATAGGACTCACAAAATGTATGAGATCTATAACATTACACGTATAATATGGTTTCTATTGACTAAGGGGCTTATCGTACTTGCATATGGGGAAAACGTAATTTTGTGCAGCTGGGAACTCCTATTACTTGATTCTATTAATTGAAAGCGGATACCCTTGGCATTCTGAATGTCCACTCTCCAGGGTATTTTAACTGCTAGGAGACACGGGAAATGGCACACACAAAAACGTCCATCTTACCAAACAATAGCTTGCAAATACCTATTTTCAGTGATCAATAACGTTATGCTGTCAGTCCCAGTGTGTCAAAAGAGATATGAAAAGGTCTTACAGTAAGTCCACATCAATAACAATGTGCTACATATATCTTTTTTGATAACCCAGTTTTCTTGTTTTCTTGTCAAGCACAGGATGAGCTCTTTTGTTTCTTTGCAAGTTCGAAACCGGATTGTGTTACTAGTGGTTTGTGATTGTGGGTCAATAAGCAGCAGTGCAAGACTGGCCAAAGAAGGTTGGTTTTGGACTAGTGGCTTAATTGCTCAGTCTTCCCAGGTGCCTTCAGCCTTGCAGGAATATTGGTGAGGAATACACCCCCCCCTCCAATCAATGCTAACCTTCCTGTAAATCTCTGCAGGGCTTGGTGCATGTCAACCAACAAGATGGCCGTTCTTTATTGAATTACAATCCCCAGAAGGCAACAGGGAATGACCTGCCATCCTCAGTCACCTGACCAATCGGTAGAAGACAATTGGACAGTTGAAATTTGGAAGAAACTAAGTGGAGGGATCCAGGGGGGATCGAACTGAGTCCCCATTATGCACTGCAACAGAGGGAGGACGGAGTAATTGGGGAAGCAACTGGTCGATTGTGTGAACATGTCAAGTGAAGTGCAAGTTCTGTACATTTATGAGAAGAGTCTTGGATAAAGACTCACTTTTTGGGACAGAGGTTTGGGAAAAAAAAGATACCTGGCATTATGAAAAATAGTAGCACATTAGCTACCTACTGTAGCTGCTTGGGCAGGGGGCACTGAAGAAATGTAGTGAAAAGCTTGAGGAAGAGTTAGGTTCTGATTTTGGTTTTCCTCAGTGTAAATAAAGGGCAGGGTAGGTCTGTTTTGTCCAGGGTTTGTTATTTAAAATCCTAATATGGATCTTTAAAGTTGAATGGTGAGTGGGCGTTTCTGCCCATCTTGCCCTCCTATTCCTCCATGAGCTAAAATACCTTAGGGACCCCGTAGTGTTTCCTGAGAGGTAAAAGTGATCACTGACAATTATGTAAATAGTATATAAAAATACACCTATATAGAAAAACTAATTTAATAAATGAATTTTTAAACACAAGGCAAATGACAAATATCACAGAAGATCACAAGAAAAAGAGAGGAGAATAGTGCTAATTAGCTACTAATAAGCACGGCTTTAGAGCTGTGCTGCTTTATTAGGTAACCTAAAATGTAGAAAACAAGTCTGTTACGAAGAAAAACGGGCATCTGTTTACTTTGAGAATGAAAGCCAACTGACAGCAAACAAAACCAACTTCTTCCGGGTTCTTCACTTTCAATATTAATCAAATACACTGTCGTCTCATAAGCATGCTTATATGAACAGAACAGCACCATTTTCTGTGAGGAGAGAGTCCTCAAAGTTGAATGCCTCTGTAAGGCTGTGGACCCATGGAATCCATTTTCTCCTGGAGTTCCTGCAATAACTGTACTGGGGTTTGACTGCTCACATGCTCAAAATCTGGCATATGAGAATGCTATGTTCCATATTAGCATCGGCCTCGCTTTGTCAGTCTAATCAAGCCTAACAAATTTCTTTGGGGTGTGCAAATCCCTCTGTTACCCTTTACAACATCAGAAGTCTGTGACTGTGTATGACTTGGAGGTGGCATGGAATTTCTCCTCAAAGTAAAAATGTTTAGTATGCCAAGACATTCATATTCTGGCCAAATTTGCAAATCCTGAGAATTTCCGCTATGAAATCAAGAATGGCCAGGCACTGTTCAAAGCAGAACAAAAGGGCTTCTAGCTTTTCCAAACTGGGGACTAGACAAACACCTGGCTGATGTAATTTAATGTATACAAATGTAGGGTGTTGAATACAGATAGCCGACTACAAATTTAAAACAGGAAATACTGAGCTTGAAGCGGCTAATTAAGTGAAAAAGACTCGGGTATTTACTGTTTGTTCTGTCAACATACATTTTCATCTTCCAAACAATGTGGAAGAGCAATATGAAAGGCAAACAGCATGATAAATATTAGTCAAAAGCAGAACATTTAAATAAAGTACATTATGCTAAACCTGTACAATGCAATAATAAACACATAGAATTGTGTGCACAATTTGTCAGAGCACAATACAAGAAAAATAGAAGGAAACAGTCCAGAAAAGAACACCCAGATGCATATCTAGGCTCAATGGAATGTCCAAAACAGAAAAGCTGAAAGAACTGAACGTTTTCTGCCTTGAACCGATAAGAACATGAGGGAACCCGATTCACGTACTTTAGGGATTTTCCCTAAAGTGAACCCACCAGAACCCACCCCTCATTTCTTCCAAATGAACAGGGAAACCCCAGCCTGAAGGTACAAGAGGAAACCATGTAGCAGTGCATTTAAAAATCAAGAATAGGAGGTACTTTACCAGAGGGTTATGGGAAGTCTGAAACAAGCTGCCCAATGGTGTTGTTGACTGCGATCCCCTAGCTTCTTTCAAAAAATGCCTGAACCTTCTTCTAGCCTGATCTCGTCAGACCTCAGAAGGTAAGCAAGACTGGCCCTGGTCAGTACTGGGATGGAAAACCTCAAAGTAAGGTCAAGTTTCTGCTCTAAGCAGTATAGGTGAACCAGTAGGTGGCACTGTTCCCTACAGACCACAATTTCCACAACAATGCCTCAGTATGCTGAAAAGCATACTTTTTTATCTTATGGTGCCTTTTCCAGAAGACAAATAAACCAAGGTCCCAGCTACAGTATATGAGCAATAAAGATACCTTAGCACTGTTTTTAAGAGTGGGGGTGTTAACCTTGATGTCCTGCCTAAATTTCATTCTGGATTTGTAAATTCTATGTAATTCAATTTACAAAGTCATTTCTCACTTAGTGCAGTGGAACTGCTGGTGCACATCACACAGCTGAGTGCTGCTCTTCAGTGGTGGGTGAAATGAGTACTTTCATATACATACGTGAAAAAGATGGTATTTTTGGATTGTCAAGCCAAATTATAGAAATTGACACAGCAAAGAAATGATCCTGACCTTTATAAAAAAAAAGTTGTGAGACATGTTATCATGATGAACAAAAATGCCGTGACTTGGTTAGCGTCTTTTGCTGGGTCACGGAGCCTCGTCATTTTGCAAGTGATACATACTCAAATGGTTTTAACGTTGCCCATACTGTTAACTACTTATATCCATCTAAAGACAAACTCACTTAAGTCTGTAGCTGAAGAGGTGCGCATTAAGATAATTTGCTTGTAATTATTATCCATTAATATAATTCACATTCTTCTTTAAAATGAGACGTGATAAAAAATCTGATTCCGATTCTAATAACGGGGAGTGATTTTTCTGCAGATGCAGTTCATCAAAAGTCCTCCTTCTACCCAAGAAATGATTTGACCTCCTGTTTTCGAAAGGCTGGTGGAAAAACCACTCAAGTACAGAGTAGGGGACTCCAAGATGCATCAGTCTTAATCTGTTACATTCGATTCATACTGTAGGAACAACAAAAACCTCTCCAAGACAGTCAATTTTCCCATGCAAAGTCAGATGGGAGTATTCCTGTTTTTTTCTCTTTTTTAAACCTGTTAAATACCATTCGCTCCCCAATAACAGAGATTTCAAATGTCCTTACCGTGACCTCTCAAATCTGGATTCGCAGGCTAATGAGTAGTGTTTCTAGGCAGCAGGTGGACAGTTTTCAAGTAAGTGCTTGCACAACAGCCTTGCGGATTTCTCTAAGTAAAAGAAAAAGACGTACAGCTTTAATAATAATGTCATACTGTTGAACACAGCTGGAATCTTTTAGCAGAGAAAGAGATAATACCCTCACTGAATAGCAGTGCATCTGTCTACATAAATCTGCTCAATGCAAGCTCACAGACTTGAAATTTTCAATGCCTGACATTGGCTTCCATAAGGATCTGTGACCACTAAAAACCGACATGGATGACACTGCTTTTCAATGGGAGTCTTTTCCATTTTACTGCACTAGTATATTCAAACAGAAGTGAAAGCCTTTATTTCTATGTTATGGGGTGCATCAAAGACAAAAAAACCTTGAGCTTAACTGACTATTGAGCAAAAACTACACTAATCTTAGTCCCCCTCCAAATCTCACCCAAAGTGAGATAAGCAGCACCATACCGAAATGCATGAATATCTACATACTTAACAGTTCAGGCAGCAATCAGGAAAAGCAGGAAAAGCCCATTTCTAAAACAAGAGAGCAGCAAGCATGATTTAAAAGTCATCATTATCATGCTCATAAATAATGAGGCCCAGCACATTCTGAAGTGGTCTCAACACGCCAGGCCAAAAAATTTATAACAGGAGTTGTGTAAGCCTGTATTATCAGGCACTGCGGTTCAAGAGGTTTAACAAAACATGCCTTGCTTTAACCCAGAGGTGTACAGATGTATTTCACCTTATGAAAGCCACTAAAAGTTTGGCATTTTTGCTTCCACAGAGGGCAAAGGAAACCGGGTGCAATGCTGTTATGTCAGGAAAGTAACGTTCACTTAACCTTCCACAGTTCTATTTTTATATAGGAAGACTGCGACAGCTAAACCACCCAGCTGTCTGAAGAGCAACTGTGCCTAATAATCTAGAAAACAACAGTTGAGCATCTCAAGTTGAGGCTGGGTTCTCTGGGGGGAGGGGAGCGGGTGGGGGTTGTTTTTTAGCAGCAGACACCAGAATCCTGCTGCTGTTGTTACAAAATGAGATCCTTGTAGCTTCTCCCCACATTTCACTTTTCATATAGAAGGGCAAACAGCATACATGAAAGCAAATGTCTTGAGTACTGACTGATTAACCCTGTTGTGCCCTACTCATGTGCTAGCTGTCCAAAAATTTCCATTTACCTCCTTCGGAAATACTGGCACAATAATCAATTTAAGTAAATATTAATTAAACTTAGGGCAGTGGTGCAGTGGCTAGCTCTGGGTTCAATTCCAGACCCAGGGTGCTATCTGTGTGGAGTCTGTATGTTCTCCCCGTCTTTGTGTGGGTTTCCTCCAGGTGCTCCAGTTTCCTTCCACAGTCCAAAGACATAATGCTAGGTTCACTGACTGGGAAAACTGGTCAGGTGCGAGTGTGGCTGTATCCGTGTGTCTGCCCTGAGATGGACTGGCGTTTGGTCCAGGATGCACTTGTGCCAGTTGCTCATCAGAATAGGCTCCAATTAGAAAATGGCAGAATGGATTAACCAACTCAATATTATCATTTAAAAGTGCTAGGAGATGTTTTGCATCGGTACATATTATGGATTCCATCTACAACAGGTCTTGGTCTTGGACAGCCAGTGTGTCTGGAGATTTTTTAGGTCTCTTCAAAACCCTCAGCGCCCGCCTGAAGAGCTGGAGGAAGTTATTAAATTGGAATTAATGACTTAACGACCACTTGCAGATGACAATAGCAGGATTTAAGTTAAGAGCCAAGATGGAATAAGAAATGCACAGACGTGCCAGCCCCCGATCGAGAATCATGTTCAGTTTTGACAGGGCACTTTGAAATAACGATTCAGGCAACTTCATGAACAGGAAATGATGCTTTATGGAACTGAAGAACTATGGGAAATCCCAAAAGGCCAATGTCCAAGAGCAAGTGGTCACTCCTCCTATCCCCACAACAGGGCACGCTTGTGAACGTTGAAGACAGTTTGACAGCACTTGTTTTTATTGGCATGACCCTACGCTTGTAACAGATCAAGTCTGTCAGCCATTTAGACCTGCAAATGTTGAGAAAAGGGGGAAAATTATGGAAATCCTAGCAGATTAGTAACCATTTGCGTCGGTTGCCATGGCGGCTGTTAAACATCTCAAATCAAAATCTAATCTCCCCCAAGAGCAAGGCCAGTTCAATTTGCAGCTCTTTAAGGAAAAAAAAAACAACAACAACTTATTTGCTCTCCAGCCACTTTTCTTTTCACAAAACAAAGCTAGTTTTTCACAGCAGGTGTATTCCAGCTACAGGTATGTCCTTTTAAAAGTCTTCACAAATAAGGGCATTTGTCTACTGTTGTACAGGTCAACAGGTATGAAAATCATCTTTCAAGACCCCTCCCCCCCCCTACGAAAGGAAAGTTGAAAAGCTCATTTCCCAACACCCAACCCAACAGGGGTAAAAATAAGACCAGTGCATGATATCACAAAGACCCAAACACACGCCCCCTGAAAGCAGACAGACAAGGAACACCTGCTTCACAGCCAACTGGGCAGGAATTTCCAAATCCCCTGCTTTTAGACTTCCCCGATACGGTGGCACAGATCCTGGCCAGCAGCTGCTTCAGACTGTTCAGCAACACAAACGTAGAAAACTCCGCCATCAACGAAGCTCCTGTTCAGCCATCTTTTCTCCTGTCCCATCCAAATACTCAAAATAAGACCACTCAAAAAAAGCAAGTGCAAAGAGCCACGTCATTTCTAATGCTACCAAATACGTAAGCACGCGCTTAAAATGTGGATTGCAGAATAAGAAATAGAATTTTGAAGCTTGCCGTTCCCACTTCTTTTCGGCATTGAAACATTTATGCACTGTGCACCTCGCAAGGGTCTCAAGCGTTTTGCGTTTCCGCGATCGATTAAGCCAGATCGCAAAACCGGCCCCTTTAAATAAATCGGAGGCGCTATGATGGCGATTCATTGTGGCACAGCTGACTGCAGCGATCGCAGCGTGCCACTGACCTGAAGCTCCCCAGCTCTCACAGTCTAACGCCATTCTCAGCACTGGGATTTCGTATTTCATCGAACGTGCTTCCAAAGTGGGTAATGTACGTACTTGGTAACGTACAACTGCGGTATGCTCACAGCTAGCTGGCCAATTCAAAACAAGAGAATTAATGGAATAAGGACATGTGATCTACGTACAAATAGGACTTTTCTGAAAACGTACCACAAACCTTAATGAACCCAAAAGGGTAGTCACATGCAATTCACACACATTCGCTCTGGTACATACAGTTGTCCAAATTAGACATACAACACATTTAATTGCTCTACAGTGTATAGTTCTTGCAATGCGACCATTTCAATTGACCAACTGACATCCCTATGGTTTAGCGTTATAAAATCAACACTAAATCCAAATGAACGCACATGCAGAGTAAAGTGATGCATGAATGTATGGAATACTTCGGCTTCACAGTTCGTTAATATAAGAAAAATCATTTTAATTTAGCAGCGAGTTCTACATGTGTTACATTCAAGGCAAGAAGCTAACCTATTTGACCTGTTTACTTAAAATGACAAATTTGGAAGAAGGGAAGTGTACATTAATTTAGATTACCAATATACGTTATACTCAGCTTATAAGAGCATTTTAAAGAGCAAGAAGCATTGGGGAAATAAATGAGAGCTTTAATAAGTGACAAAACGTAATTGTTTTAAAAAATGATATGCTGCCTGTTTAACTCTCTTGTATGTTCTGTACATTAAACCAAGATATCCTCGCCTTTACTGACCAAATACCACAACATGTGTAAAAGAAACTGACAGACTACTGAAAAACAGACCATGTCAGGACAGTCAGACCTCCACCTGTCCAAGACCACACCTCTTGTCCTATATTCTGGACCTCTTTTGAAAACCAAGAGTGAGGAAATATATGCTCAGAAACAGTGCTGGTACTTACTGAAATACAACTAACAGGCCTTCTGTAATGGAAATTTGAATTTAAGTGAATACATCCACTAACAAGTCTGAGAAAAGCTTGTTACTGACCAGAAATACTGGCTGCCTCAGTTTCATTGAGCACATCAGGGTTGTGAAGTGTGTAATCTATAGAAAAGGCCAGTTTTGTCATCTTTGCATGCAAAGGCTGTTCACAGCTATAACCTAAATTAAATCTAGAATTAAACATTCAGTGTGTTTAATTAATCTTTAGTCTCCCAGTGGGCTTTTACTTGTATTACCACAGACGAGCGCTGTAGTATTTTCCTCCCCTGCCTCTCTTAAAAGAGAAGGACTCGCTCAGCAGACCAGTGATGAATAAAACAAGTCAGCTGGATATTTTAACTGCTTTGTCTTAAGCCCTTTGATGAAAGACAGCTGAGTGCCATGAACAGAGCCTGTGACAGGATGCCCTCTCCGAAAAACAGCACAAAGAGAAGACGCTAAGACCCATTAGGTAGCTCGGTGTGCCACAGGCCAGACTTGATTAAGATAACTGGTTCACGCCCTCTGCCTGAGGGGACAAAAAAAAGTAGCTTTGCAATTACTTCTAGAAAAATCTACACTGCCAGTGGCACGTTGAAGACTTCGCCTTCCCATATATTTTTTTTAAACACAAATAATTTATAACTTTCTTCACGGAACACTGCAGACCTGCCTTTTTGTATTTTTACCTAGGTGTTCTTTAATTATATTGTGTATACTTGTACACCGGTGTCATTAGGGATCTGCAATCTTCCGGGTTGCCTAACCTCATTGAGCTACAGCATTGTCTAAACACTGTCACTCAATTTCTAATCCCAGAACCATACAAGGACTGGTCTGTACTGGATATTATACTGGCGTTTGATCAGTGGCAGTTCAGAAGCTATTGTGTTTGTGTAAATACACACACTATGCTACTGTATGTATATACTGTACAAGAACAACAGAGGTCAAGATGAGTAGACGTATAGTTTTACAGTGAAGTGCTTAGATTATGCCCTTATTGTGTACATATTACCGATTATGTATCATCAATAGATGTTTACATTATCATCACCTTCCTCACAACCACAAATTCTTCA